TGTTGAAACTATTCCATGGATGGGGAGAGGAGGGATAAAGGAGAATGATGGAGGGGGTGAATTCAACTATGATATATTATAAGAACTTTTGTCAATGTCACATTGTACTCCCAGTACAATAAAAAAAAAAATTGGAAAAATAGAATCCAGCTAAAGTTAGCGTTTATGCTTTAAAATAATTTACTGAACAAATAAACAAATAAGCAAATTATAATGGTATAGAATCCATGCAGGAAAAATATTTAATGGACTTCAATAAAAACTTTCCCAAAATACCAAAAAATGCTTGTAAATATTTAATATAACTACAATAGTCTTTCAAACAACTAAAAACAAAGACCTTAGCTCAACTTAGAGTAAATTTATTCCACATTTTAAACATGTTATTAATTTAAACATGATTCCTATATACTCATGTATGAAAATGGAAAAATAAGGCCTGCTTAAAACTATTCCAGGAATAGGGGGAGAGGATAAAGTAGACTGAAGGAAGTGGTAAATTGGACTATGATATATCACAAGAACATTTGTAAATGTCACCATATACTCAAGTACAACAATAATATAATAATAATAAAGTCCTCAAAAAATAAAAATAAAATAAAACTGGCAAGCAAAAAATAAATGACTTATAATGATTTAATATGCCTTCACTACATTCTGAAATGCAAAATCATACATGAAATCTAAAAAGCTGTGACATCACTCTAAAAAATAGTGAATTGCTTGTTAACTTTTAAATATTAAGCTTTTGCTTTTTTATTGCATCCTAACAACCTATCTATATTTTCTGCCATAAACTAAGAGTTAATAAATAGGTAATTCATCAAGTTGATAAAAATATATGGTTTCAGGTTCATACATAACCCCCCATTGTTAGTTCCTGGGCTTTTAACCATTTAGGTTAAAAGAAAAAGATAAGAGAGTTTGGTCAGGGAGCTGCTACAACTGCAGTACATGTATCAGTCAGCAATGTCAAGGCTCAACCATTTCAAAAAACTTCTTTCAAAAAGACAAATGCAAACAAAGTGCAGTTTAAGTTAGCTGAGATATTTCGCCTTTAAAATAATCCTACCCAACAATGTGTTAAAATGATACATCTTTAAGACGACAATAAAAATGGTATATTAATGACAGCTCAAATTAGAAGGGATAAAAAAGCAAAAAGCACAAATTTGTAAGCTAAAACAGCTGCCTATAAAAGAACTGCTTTTACTAAATATGATTATATATTTTTATACATAAAATCATTAAGTTCTGCACAGAGCATCCTTTTAGTGCTCTATTCAATTCAGCAATAGTATATTCCTCAACTTTATAGTCATAAGGAAAGACTTTAATGAAACAACATGTAAAAGAGGTCAGTGGTTTTCAGTCATTTCTACAGATTCTGGCGGCAGACCTAACACTGGAGTCTTTCTTCAATCAAAACCACATGGCAGTGACAACACTCCAACCACAGCATGATTAACAGCTGTGGTGTTCCCAGGCTAGACAACACATCTCCTGCCTGGGTACTCACTGCCACAACTGTTCTTGCTTACGAGATTGAATAGATTCCACAGACTTGATATTTTAACTTTGTCACACCATCTAAAGCCCTCAAATACCAAAGGAAAGATAAGAGTTTTCAAAACCAATGTGCCTCAGTTTTTAAGATACTGTGCAACAGAAAAAAAATGCAAACAGGTAATTTTCAATCCATTCCCAATGAACATGACTACAATGTAATAAACAATTTCTGCAAAAAAAGAAAAAACGTTTCTGAAAAAAAAAAATTACTCTGGCAACTGACAATATGAGTTAAACGAAAAGTAACTATTTTTCACCTGCTTAGCAAATATGAGGCCCTGAGTTGGAACCCCTGTACCACCAAAGGAAAAACAACAGTAACTATTTTTTATCATCTGTAGGCCCACAAATGTCATATTGCACCTGCCATTCACACTATAAATAACAATTTCATCTACCATTCATATTATAAAGATTTCTCCCCATCTTGCCACTATGTATCTACCCTCCTTAACAAGAATATTAATATACTATAATTACTAAATCAGAGTTAACACTTTTCCAAATAATTATGATTAAATTTAAACAGGAGGCTTAAAAATGTTATTTATACTGATAATGGATGACCAGTCATTTATTATTAAACTTTAATAAGCCATATTATATGAAGTTAGAAAGATCATTTGTTTGAAGTCAGAAAGACTTAAGCTTGAATCTCTATTCTAAGTATAATTTTCTAGCTTTAAGAAAATGTGATCAAATATTAATTAGCTAAGGATTGTGCTAATGTCCCTAAAACTTAACTAATTATAAGTCTCTTAATTGACTTTTTGTACACTTTTTTTTTTCTGGTATTGAGGTTTGAACTCAGGGTCTTATGCTTGTAGGCAGGCACTCTACCACTTGAGCCACTCCTCCAGCTTAACTGACTTCTTAAAACAAAATATAGGTAAAACAATGCAATTATTATCCTGTCAATTTATCAGTTCATTTTAATTAAAACATATTCAAAATAACTGCAAATTCCCAGAAATTAGCTAGAAATAACTTATTTAGGAGATTATTAATTTTACTTTCATCCCAATTCAAATTCTCAAAAGAAGTTGTAATCAAGTGTAAGCATAGAAACTATTCAACAATCACAAAACACAATGCCAGGCACATGGGATGAAGACAAAACACAGTATCATTCTTTAAGAAGATCATAATCCAAAACAGGTGAAAGATAATGACACCTTCTTAATAGAAGGTGGTAAGTTCATAATTAAGACACATCAAAGAAGAGAGGTAGCAGAAAGGGAGTGACACTTCTATAATTGGAATGAATCTTGTCCTTTTTTTTTTTTTTTTGGCCATACTGGGGCTCGAACTCATAGCCTCATGATTGTATAATCAGAATTCAACAAATTTAATATGAAAGTCAGTAAGAGGATGGAGGTGTGGCTCAAGGGTAGAATGCTTATAAGCACCCAGCCCCGAGTTCAACCCAAAAGAAAGAAAAAAAAAAGTCAAAAAAACAGCCAATTAAAGGATGACATTTTAACATATAGTATTTTGTAGAAGAAGTGAAAGATTCACTCATTCTTTAATTTTTAAGATATTTGTAAGAAAATATTAGAACCCTAACTCTCTTCACTAAGAACTAGCCATTAGGAGGTACAATGTTACAATTTAAACAAAGCAGGCTTTTAGAGTGGGACAGGGACAGGATGGACAAATACACAGGATGAATGATGGTGCAGCTCCCTGGTAGAGGGTTTGCCTAGCACATGTAAGGCCCTGGTTCTCATCCCTGGAACTGCCAAAAAAAAAAGAAGCAAAGAAGGGATCTATCTTGTCTAACAACACCTATCATAAGCATATGAACACTTCATTTATACTTGACTTATTACACATAGCCATGTAGATTAAGAAGTGCATTTGCCTGAATGGAAAACAGGTTTTCACCTATTACACCAATTATAAATGACAGGGTGGCTCATGGTGCTATGTTCAGAAAATAACTCTGATGGTGAAACAAAGACTCAGCAGGACTATAAGAAATGCTTAGCAATGTCTGCTGTGAACAAGGATGTCTTAGTCTACTTTCTGTTGCTATAACAAAATACACAAGACCAGACAACCTATATAAACAAGAGTTTCTTTATATGCTCTAAACTTCCCAGAGCATGGCATCAGCTTCATTCTGCTCAGCATCTAGTGAGGGCCTTCTTGGTGCATTACATCGCCACTGTGCATCACATGACAATACAGAGCAAGTGTGCTAGCTTGGGGCCCTCCTCTTCTTATAAAACCACTAATGCATTAATGGGGCTTTGCCTTCATGGCCTCATCTAGTCCTAATTGCTTTCCAAAGGCGCTACTTTCAAATATCACTGACATATGACATTAGTGATTAAACTTCCAGTAGACAAACTTTGTGGGACACATTTACACCACAGCAATGCAGAATATGTACGATATGTTTGACGTCTTTCATACCTGTACTTTCTCTGGTAAATTATAACTTTATCTACATAGGACCCACTCCCTCAAGAAAAGAAACTGAATTTTATTAATTTAATATTAAAGTTAATAAACAACCACCCAGTTAAGGGATAGCACTGCAATAAACACTACCGGACAACTCATTCATCAGCTATTCTTTCATTTTTCAAAAAAAAGTTCCCTGATCCACAAGGCTAAGACTCTATTCTCCTAACCCTAAGTGACTGAGATCCCTCAATAAAATCTAATCAACATGAGATAATGAGGTTTTAGTCTACTAGGAATTTAAAATTGGGAATCACAAAGAGCCAGTTTAGCTTTTATGCATGTGGAACTACAGCATGCAAGTTATGGTGATCACATCCTATCATTCAGACAGAGAAGCATAAAGCTACCCAGGCTATGGTGAGAGAAATGAAAAAAAAAAAAAAATCTACAGAGCCAAAAGAAACTAGGAAAATACGGTGAATGAATACTTTCAGATTCTTGATAACTGCACTGTCTCTATATCCCTCAGCTATACCTCCCTTAGCCTCAGTTTTTTATGACTTTTTTTCTTTTTTGAAGGGTCTTTCTGTGCTGTCTACCTGCCTTCAATTCTGGCCTCAATTGATCCTCCTGCCTCAGTCTCCTGAGTAGCTGGGACCACAGGCATGCACCACAGTGCTCAGCTATGATTCTCTTCTCTTTATTTAAGCTACTTTGAAATGATTTTTTTAATAGCCAAAGGGTATTAACTAGTAAAGGATACTAAGGCCTTTTTTTTTTTTTTTTTTTTTTTTTGCAGTACTGGGGTTTGAACTCAGGGCCTACACTTTGAGCCACTCCACCAGCCCTTTTTTGAGATAGGGCCTTGCAAGCTATTTGCCCCAGCTGGCTTTGAACCGCGATCCTCCTGATCTCTGCCTCCTGAGTAGCTAGGATTACAAGCATGAGCCACTGGCGCCCAGCAGGTGTGCTTTTCTTAAAGAGAATATCTGAAAAACATTAAGAAACCTAACCTTTGTTTCTTCTGTCCTTACTGCATCCAGTAAATAATGAAGAAGCTCCTGACTATCCTGTTGTTGGAAGCCTTTAAATCGAGGCGCCCTATGATTTAAAAACAAGACAGGAAAGAAAAAAAGAATAATCACTCCATGGTTTATCAACAATGTGTTATTCTTATTTAAAAATGACTTTGAAATAAGTCAATGATTTCATTTATTACTTTTTTCAACTAAATAGAAAGACATTGGGATTCCTATTCCAATTAGGATGAGTTCCTATGTGTGCACTGAGAACAAAACAGCTATCATTTATTAAGCAGCTACTTTATGTCAAGCACAGTACCAGTAATTTTATGTATTTTAAATCATATAATCCACATTCTTATTGGGAAGCACTCTTTTCTCCACTTTATACATAAGAGCTCAGAAGGATTATTTAAGTCATTTAAAAGTCATACAGCTAGAAAAAAAAAAAGCATTTGAACCCAAGTTACTGTGATTTCTCTTTCTACCTTAATATCAAAATACAGGACTATAAATTGGTATCTCTGTGAATACATTTCTTTTAATGGTTTGACAATTAGATTTCATGTGTAACTAAATAAAAAGGTCAAGTGTTATTCATGGAGATATCAACATTTAGTTGATTTCAATAACTTTAAAAAATTGTCTGCAATGAATTCCAATGCCAAAATGGGTATTTTGCCTTAAATGCAAACAGGTACTAAATCTAGAAAGTATTCTGATCTAAGAGAATTCTGCCAAAATAATAAGAATAACTTATGTTAGTAAATACAATTTATAATTATTTAATTTGACATATAAAACATCTTATTTGATATACCACAACATTAAGGAATTTATAATAAATATGAACTGCATTTTATACTTGAGAAAACTGAAGAAGAATATACTAGGAGTCACTGATACAAATCCAGATCCTCTTTGTTGTTGTTGTTGTTGTGATACTGGGGTTAGAACTCAGGGTCGTGCACTTGCCAGGCAGGAACTCTACCACTTAAGCCATGTCCCCAGCCCCTCAATCCAGATCTTTTGACCATGAGTCCAGTACTTTAGCATTATTTTTCATTCTCATGATAAGCATCCATCCTCTAACGCACTTATGTAGTCTCTGACTTCCAAAACCAGGAGTGAATCTAGCCTGTAAGAAGCAACACCATTTCAGTTATTCTTGCTAGGTAGTAGCAAATAACATCATCACGTGGAACACACTTTCATCTGCTCCCTGGCATGCTTCCCTTTGTGCATGTGGTAGATAGCGTCTACCTTATATATCAGAGACAAGGATGGAAACAAGACAAACATAAATCCAACTCTATTTGGGCCTCCACAGCTGGCATCATGAAATGCAGAAATTACAGGATACTACACTTGTGTTATACCTATCAAGGAAGATAACCTCTCTTCCTAGGAGGAGACAACTAGGAGGGCAAACAGAGGAATTCTTCAACGATCTTCACTAGCCATGTGGCAAATAGAACAAGGGAAGTTTAAGGCTTCTGAAGCAGATACATAGGACAGAAATCATTTCTGAACAATGAAATCATTTCTTCTACCATGTCTCTGCCTATAGCTCTATCTCAACCATGCAAAAACTAATTGCCTTCTAAATAAACTGCTGAAGAACATTTAATAAACCTAGGTTTTTCTCTTTTCTTTTGCCTAGGACTGAAAAAAAAAAATACAAAATACAGGATCTCTGATATCACCTATCTGAGCTACCAACATTGAGAGACCTTCTGCTGGAGGCATGGCTCAAGTGGGAGAGCACTTGTTTAGCAAGCATGAAGCCCTGATTTCAAAACTCATAAAAGAGAGAGAGAGAAAAAGAAAGAGACCTTCAAACTTAAGTCTAAAAAGAGAACCACCAAATGTATGAAAATATTCAGCTTATTCAAAGTAAGGGAAACAATACAGATTCAAAGGAAATGAGATTTTGTGCTACTGTGAGAAAGAGGATACTTATTTATTTATTTATTTTTCCTTTTGTTGTGCTGGGTGAGGGTACATTGTGGCATTTACAGAGGTTCTTACAATGTATCAATAACATCCTATTTGAATTCACTCCCTCTAGAGGGAAGACTTTTAAAAAGATCAAAATAAGACAAGAAAAAACAATTTTAGAACAAGATTTATGGAGATGTCTTCTGGGTAAGGGTGAAACAGTTTATAATCCAAAAACTTCTACTGCAAACATACTGACAAATATAAAGAGAAAACAAAACAACAATAACAAAAACATAAGTGGGATTTAATACAAAATGAATTCCACAGAACAAAAATGGAACACAAATGTAAAACAGTCAAAGAAAAGCACAGATGGGTTGGGCGTGAAAGGGACAAATAGAGTTAAAAGTGCTGCATGACAGACAAGGACCAGAGCCAGGCTTATGGTTTAAGGATGACTGACTTTCCCTTGAACCTGAAAGAAAGCCCTTAGGCAAGTTTTGCTTGAGGCTGTCACAGTACATAGACACAGACTAAGGACCTAAAGCTGAGCCAAGTCTTCCATAGACTCTATCATGTCCCCAAATCTGACAGCACAGTAACTGTGAATCTGTAAGACTCAATTTCAAAGTCCATCCTGAAAGGCTAAGGTGAGACCTACTTCACATTTAAAATTTTTTGGCAGAGCTGGGTGCCAGTGGCTCACGCCCAGCTACTCAGAAGATAGAGATAGGAGGATTGCAGTTTGAAGCCAGCAGTGAGCAAATAAGAGACCTTATCTCGAAAAGCCCATCACAAAAAAGGGCTGGTAGAGTGGCTCAAGTGGTAGAGCACCTGGCTAGCAAGTGTGAGGGCCTGAGTTCAAACTCCAGTGCTGCCAAAAAGAATAATAATAATAATAAAATTATTAGGCAGAGAAAGAAGAAAGTATGAGGAAAGAAGGCAATGGGAGAAAAGGGAGGTGATGAGAATGGCAAGAAGAGGCAAGGGTAGGTGAAGGAAATGAGAAAGCAGAGGGGCCAAAGATTAGGAAAGATGAACAAGCAAAAAATCTTCTCTAAATGAGCCTAAACGAATATGATAAAACACATGAAGAATTCTAATGCAAGAATTTAACAAGAATGAATTTGTTTCATTTCAAATTTTAGTTTCAGAAAACCATCTAAAAACTTTATAGTATATCAAGAATGTCCAAAAAAACCCAAAATAAAGGCATAAATACCAATAAAAAGCTAGACATTAAGAAAAATAGGGGAAAAAAAGAAAAACAGGGAAAAACTAAATAGGAACACATAGGCATTGATAAGATAGTCTATTAAAAAATGCTAGAAACAATAAAATAAAACCACAGCCATAAATACATAGCCTCAGTACCACCAAAAGTAAAAATAAAAAATAAAAATACAAAAATATAGAATACATCTAAACTCAACCCAAACAAAGTGAATTAGTAAACTGGAAAATAATACTGAGGTCACTAAAGGTGTGGTTCAGTGGTAAAGTGCTTGTCTACCATGTATAAGGTCCTGGGTCCAATGCCCACCATCACAACCACAAAACAACAGAACACAACTGAGAAACATATCTAGAATTCTACTAGAGTATACAGTACTACACTTTCACTCTATCTTGAGTTTTGCTGGCACACAGAATATCATAAAGTTAGGATTACATGTCTTTTTGTGTGTGTGTGTGTGTGGTATTGAGGTTTGAACTCAGGGCCTACACCTTGAGCCACTCCACCAGCCCTTTTGTGATGGGTATTTCAAGATAGGGTCTCATGAACTATTTGCCTAGGCTGGCTTTGAACTGCAATCCTCCCAATCTCTGCCTCCTAAGTAGCTAGGATTACAGGCATGAGCCACCAGTGCCCAGCAGGATTGTATGTCTTGGAATAACATTCTTCAGCACACATTTTGTCCAGTTGATTACATTTCCTCATGGACAAATTCATTCTTTCAGGCACAGCATCAAAATTTCAGTACTTCAATACTAGTTAGCTAAATGAAGGAGTAATGGAAGCAAAAGATAAGCCCAAAGGAGGATGGAGAAACAGAATTGCTCTATCACATCTCTGAACTTTTTAAAGGAAGCAGGCACATAAAACCTAGTGAAATCAAATATGTATCAGGGTGGACAGTAGCGTTAATGCCAATTTTCTAGTTTTAATCAATGTATTATTAAATAAGATATTGTCCTAGAGAAAATGGAGAGTGTACACAGGAACTCTGTACTATTTTAAGACTTCTTGTGAGTCTTAAAACAATTTCAAAATAAAAAAGTTATTTAAGAAAAAGACAAGAAAAAAGAAATGAACAACAAGAAAAAAAAAAAAGAAAAAGACAAGAAAGTTAAAGAACTTGCTCCTAAGTAACCCTTATCACAAATGGTCCAAGTGTCACCACTACATCAGAAACTTCAAGAGATAGACCAGCTTTCAAAATTAATACATATACATGACATAGATGAATTACAAAATAATTATGCCAAGACAAAAAGAGTGTACACTATAAATTTATACATAATTCTTAAAAATGCGAACTAACCTGAAATCACAAAAACAGATAAGCAGTAGCCCAGAGATAGAGTTTAGGGGAGAAGGTCCAGAGAAAGAGATTAAAAAAGGGTTCAAGGAAACTTTTGGGGGTGATGTAGTCTTTAAATTGATTGTGGTAATGTGTATACCTATGCGAAAATTTATACAACAGTATACTTTAAAACAGTTTCCTGAATTTAAAATATACTTTGGTAATACTATTTAGAACATTTATCAATACAATTCACTATTTCAATATACAAAAAGCCATGTATTATTTCAGTAGATACAGAAAAGGCATTTGAATAAAATTAACACTATTCTTGGTAAAAACTCAGAAAAAGATAACTATAAAAACTATAGTTACAAGTCTTAGACATGAGACTGTATGTTCCTCTTCTAGTATCAAAACTAGAGCAAGGATATCCATTTTACCACTCTAACATTGTACTGGAAATCTTGCCAGTGATACAAGGCAAGAAAAATATATTAACGAATACAAACTGGAAGCTGAGAGTGGTGGCTTGCATCTGTAATACTGGCAACTCAGGAGGAGAAGGAGGATTGGGAGTTTCAGACCAGCTGGAGCAAAGGTAATTAGACCCTGTCTCAAAAACAAAATAAAAACAAAAAAGATGGGGGTAGGAGGGAGTTATAGTAAGTACTAGAGAGTTTGACTAGCATGAAGAAGGGCCCTGGGTTCAATCCCCAGTACCTGAAGAAAAAAAAAAGACTGGAAAAGAAGAAATAAAATGATCTTTGTTTGCCACTAATATTAATCTACATAAGCTATCCCCAAGAATTTACTTAGTGAGTTGGGCAAGATAGTAAGAAATAAGGTCAATATACAAAAATTAATTAAAAAATAAAAAACACAGAAGGTAGGTTATTTCTTTACTACTTTCTAGATTTACCAATTCTATCTATGATTTTCTTACATTATAGTATTACCTCATAGCTATTTAATTCTCAGCTTATTTGATTCTAATACTATGTGAGCTACTAGATTTCTGAGGGTCTCCAATTCCTTATAGATAAAATGGGGATAATCACATCTTCAGAAGATTATGAGATATAACTTACATAAAGCACATAGATGCAACTAAACAAATGTTGGTTCTTTTTTTGAAGTATGGACAGTAACAGAAATGTTACAATAGGATTGAAACCTCTAATGTTAAGTGATGAATGCATTAGTCTTTTGCAACATGATTATTTATATTAAAAATACAGATGCACCTACTTCTGACAAAGCTGGTTAAAAAGAACTTTAGGTGAAAGTGGTCCTTTTTCAGTCTCCTTCATGCTGTGAAGAAACAGGAACAAGGCTGAGGTCAGTGGTCCTGGGCTTGAAAGTTCCACCACTAATGGGCCCTTTAAAAACATGATCAACTCTATGTCAGAAATACACAATTTCAAAGAAAAACATTATTAAGAATCTAAGAGTTATGTTTTGTTTATATGATATGAACTAAATTGCCTCAAATGTATTAAGAAACTTTATTCATTCAAATATAAAATGAGTATCTAAAAATAAAGAACAGCATTAAATGCCTTGCATTGAGAAACACAAGTATTTTCATATCCTCTGCCCTTTACTTAATAAAATTACTACCTTGAGTAAAAAAACCACTCCTTGATGCTTGTAATTGTCCTTAATGTGCTCCCCTGCAAGTAAAATTATTTTTGTACATCTTCACAAATAATCATAAATTATATGTATTAATAAAATTCTACAACTTTCTTTTCCACAAATATTTTACCAATAAAATAAGAAATGGAGCACTTGCCCAGCCAGCACAAGCCCGAGTTCAAAACCTAGTACCACAAAAATAAGTAAATAAATAAAATAAGGAAAGGGAAATTATGTGACAAAATCGGTACACTATTTTCCTCTTTCAAAGGGGAGAAACATAAAGCTCAGCAAGAATAGCTAAAATTGTAAGAAGGATTAACCCCTTTTGGATTTTTCCCCCCACCAAGTTTTGTTTTCTAAAAAATGTTATCCCCTTTGTCTTTCAAAGCTGCCTCCTGGCACATTACTGCACCGGGCTAAATATTTTTAAAACTGTTTTGTTGTTGTTGTTGCTTTAAAAGCCAGGTCATTAACTATATTCATATTCTCTCTTCCTTTAGGATGAAAGCACACAAACTCACAACCACAGAGCAAATTTATTTTACTTATTTATTTTTTTAGATGGGGTCTCACTATGCTGCCCAGGCTGCTTTTAACTCCTAAGCTCAAGGGATCCTCTTGCCTGAGATTCCCTCCTTGGTAGCTGGGACTACTGGCACAGATCACTGCACCACTTCTCAATTTCTAATTAAAATCATTATTGGTTGTGTCAGTACCCTTTTGCCAAAGTCATCACGAACACACATATGTTAAATAAAGTAAATTGATTACTTGTTGTAGTGGGGAAGAACACACACCATGGGATGTCTTAGTAAGAGGGTGTTACAAGATTTGGACTCTGGTTTGGTTATTTGGGGAGGTATCTAAGGGAGTGGAGAGTTACTCTAGATTGGATGCCAGCAGCAAACACAGGCAATTCTATGACTGGGTATCTCAATAAGTCTTACCTATGATGTGGGAAGAGAGACAAAGAAGATAAGCTACACCTGGTAAAAAAAAAAAAAAGCTATCATTCATTTCTCATTTTGGCCCAGAGAGGGTGCTAGATTTTCTAAATGGCCGAGAGACCTAGTTTTTGTCTGTATTTAGACAAAATTATGAAATGGCCTTGCTTTGTCTTACTTTATCACAGTCTCAGAGAGACCTACACTCAGGTTGCTTTCCTATGGAATTATTTGAACAGTATGGCATAACTAGTGGGTGTAAGGCCAGCTTCTGAAGCCAAGGGCTGCTCTTTTTGTTTTGTTTCCTTTCTTTCTCACTCTTAAAAATCCGTACCAGACTAGGCCTCAATGTTTGAACTATATTTTAAAGTTATGATTTTAGAAACATTAAATCTAGTTATTGGGAGCATGCTTCAAGTGGTAGAGGGCTTGCCTACCAAGCACAAGGCCCTGAGTTCAATCCTCAGTAGTTTAAAAAAAAAAAGTACAGATCTGATTATGTATTTCCACAAAATGCTTTTGAATTATTTTTAAAAGCCCTCTGACTACCAAACCAGTGGATAGGTCTGAGAAATAGAAAAGATTTATTTAACAAATATTAATTATCCAGATAGTTTTACTTCTTACTCACCATCTGAGACTCTGGAGAAAGAGAAATCTTTAATTTTGTACCATCTTCTTTTATCTCATTCATCAGTTCAATAAGAATGTAAGTCTGTGCCAAGTTCTAAACAAAAGTAAAAGTAAAGTCTTCTGATTAACTTACATTGTGCCTCTAAATCTGTGAATCAACATTTCAAATTTCATTAGTACAACAAAAATGACTATTTGAATAACTTTAATTTAACTGAATATATTTATTAAATATCACTATTCTGATGAAGCCTCAGTAAAAATAGAAGAGCTTTTAGAAGCACTGTGGGGGGTGGGGGAGAAAGGGTATGTATGTGTATGATGATGGCCAAAAAGGGTAAAACAAACAAACAGAAAATAGAGACTTCTAGACAAACATTTAGCAGTCATCTGATGGTCTACATGTATGCCAATGTCTACACAATTAAAATAATTCTTATATTTTCCAAATCTTTCTGATGATTCTTACCTGAATGACTGCATTAAAAAAGCAAGTATTTCCTAAATTTGTAATTCCTTTCACAGAGTGCACACTGCTATCTTTCGTTCCCTTCTTTATTTCACCTGTTTCACGTTTGTCTTCGCAAAGTTTTACGATTCTAGAAAAAGCACCTACAAGTTACAGAAAACAAAACTGTAATGAGATGTAAAATTAAATGTTGTTTGACAATTTCAATATGTTATTTGAAATTAAATACGATTGTCTCCTTGAATGAATGCTCCTGAAAGACAAGAATACAAACACAAATGTCTTTGGTTTTATTTTATCATATTACTATCACAACTGAACTATGTAGGCATAGGCCTCACATCACATTAAATAGTAAATCCTGGATGACTCAAAAAATTAAATGTAGAGGAAAAATAGTCAAAACACAAGTAGAAAATATCTAGCTTCTAAACAGCATCCCCCCACTAAAATGGAGAAAAGCCTGATTAGTGAGCCTGTGACATTTTTCTTACACAATAAAATAAGTGCTGAAAAACAGCAATGGAAGTTAAGTCAAAATACACACAGGCACCACACTGAATAGGCTTCCATTGTGCAATGTGGTACAACTTGACCACCAAACTAAATAAGGGTAGTACAGTAGATTATTACTCTCAGAATGAATCTGAACTGAAAATAAATTTTAAAAATTTTTATTTTATTTTTGAATTAGCATACATTAATAATATCAGGAGGTTTCATTATAGTAATTCCATACATGTGTACATTGAACAAGGTTACCTTCTCCAGATAATAAGACTTTTCTAATAAGGAAAAAGGGGAGGGGAACAACTAACAAAAAAAAAGAAATGACGATCAGGAAAACTGTTCTTACACTGGTGATTTTTTTTGCATTATTCTTTGCAATTTTCCAGTGAGCTTCAAATTGTCAAAATTAAAAGAAAATATCTAAACTTACAATATATTGGTACGATATCAATTTATATAATAACATAGATCTAAAAATTACATTATCAGTTCATGTTTAATAACAATATAAAAATGAAGAACATTTCCTAACATTTATGAATTGGCACAGTTGATCACATCTATTTGACAGCAGATTACTCTCTGAATCAAAATCATTATTGTAATTAGTCCTAAATCTCACCAGGGGTCTGGACTTAGGATTCCCAAATCTGTGGATGCTCAAGCCCCTCATAAAATGGTACAGTACTTACACACAATGCACACATCCTCCTGTCTACTTTAAATCCTGTCCAGATTACTGTCAGTAACTAATGCAGGGTAAATGCTATATAAATGCTTGCTATACTGCTTAGGGGATAATGACAGGGAGAAAAGTGTTTGTGTTCAGTACAGACACAACTTTTTTTCCCAGATAGTTTGATCTGCTTTGGTTAACTCTGTGGATGCTGTACTGGAAGGCCAATTATAACCTGTTTGACAGGAAATTCCCAAGTTCTCAAATGTTTTGGTTTTAACTGGATATTCTTTTAAATTCCTTTCAACCTTCCAGAATTTATAGTTATTTACAATTATATGTGTTATTTTCTAATACCAACACGATGCTTCGCATTAACAATTAAATTTAAAATATTCGCTGATAGAGATCAGGAAGTGCCTCTTAAAACTAGTGTCCTCCTCAGGCATATGGTGTTGGGGAGTACATACATTATAAATGTACAACATAAATAAAAATCTATAGGACTAGACAGCAGATCCAGTAGACGTTTAGTTCTCTTATGCATCTGATGAGTTCTTAAGAGGAAATAAATTAAGACACCTCCCCCACTTCTGGAAGCAGCATTAAAGGAGATGGACTAGGATAGAGGTGATCTTTTTCTCATGAAAAGACAGCAAAACATAAAGAGAAACTTTGTCTTTTGTAGAGGCAGACTGATGTCATATAAATCTTGTTGGTTCAAATAGGCTTGACTTGGCACTCGTGGATTTGACAAAAAATAAATAAGCAAGCACATACACACAAGGCCCCATTATCTATCAAGTAGGGTTAATATACTTTCTCAAATTTACATAAATGAGCTAATATTGCAGAGAACATGATGTGGCAAGCACTAGGCAAGTGTCTGAAAAAGTCCTGATAATCGCCTAAAAATTGTCATTTGTGCCAAAATCCCTATCTCTATGAGCCATCCTTCATGACCATTATTTGTCTTATCTTGTATTTTTTCTCCTCTCTATTTTCTGTTTATGTTAGATATTTTTTCCTATGTGCTCTGTCATATTAACTTGTGGTTTTCATAATTTCTCAGTTTTCCCTTCTTTTTCTTTTCACATTTACAAAACTCAATCTCAAACAGGTTAAGTGATTTTTCTCAAGGTCACAATAATATTATTAAGTGCATTGTCATTTTGTTAACTAAATTCTTATCAAAGATTTTTTGTGTACATGGGAATAACTATAAAAGATAGTGGGGTAGAGTCATAGATTTGGGTATGTGCAACAGTGAAAAAATGACTCCTCAAAAGTTATTTCCTTTACTTAACTTTCTTAATAAATGTTTCCCTATTGTTTTTAAGCTTTTAATATGAACAGAGTGGTTGGGAAAAATTACAGAATATTACTATATGGAAATATATACTATACACATTCACTTGAAAAAATACTTCCAGAAGTAAATTATATTTTAATTTTGCATAAATAACATTTTAAAAACTATAATATGCAAATAATTTATGTATCCATGTACCACATTCATCCATCAATTTTCAAAACATCTGGGATAACATCCCAAAGTAAACAATGTTCGTAAGACCATCTGGACAAAACTGCAGGCAAAAAAAAAAAAAAAAAGCTTAAACATATGGAAAAACAGATTTTCTCCTTCCCTTCAGCAGTGAGGGATGACAAATGTCAAACCTAGATATATCCACGCTTCACTGTGCGATGCTTTTCAGCACCACCTGGCTCTCCATGCACAGCCACCAAATATGGACAGCACTGCCAGAAAGAACATGTCTACAGGGCAATGGCAATAAAAACAGTTTATTTCATGGTTAAATAACCACTTCACACAAGTGGCAAGGGTCTGTTGTTGACTTTTACATGTAAGTCTATGAGAAAATATTCAAACTTAGCAACGTTTTTCAACTTGAGTATTAAGCAGATCAGATAATTTAACTAGAAAACAGAATAACATTTTCTAAGAGCTAACTAGTTTATTTAGAAAGCTGAAGTTTCAAAAATCAAAAAAACAAAAAAATGAAAAACACAAGTTTGATAATATGTGATTTCAACTTAATTGATATGTCAAATGTCCATGGTGTGCCAGGTACTATATAAACCACTATCTGTAGTTATTTATACTGAATTGTTTTTTAAGTTATGATTAACCACTATCTGTATTTATATTGAATTGTGTTTTAAGTTATGTTTATGCCAACAGTTTACCTCAGTAAAACTTTTGTACACTAAGTATATATGTTGCATATTTGTCCACTAAGAAATTATCTGCTGAAGCAGGTATGATTGCACAAACTTCCAAGCCACCCTGTGCAACAGAGGAAGTTCAAGGCCAGCCTGGACTACAATAGCAAAATTCTGCCTCAAAACACAACACGTTAAAAAGAAAAAGAAAAAGAAAGAAACTCCTAAGAGTTAAGATTCTACTTTAAAATGGGTATCTGAGTCAGTGTTTCAATTATTTGACACATGAAGCTGTGTGTGTTTTAATAAGAAGCAATTTATAACTTATAAGAAGAGTTAGTCTGGTCATTTTGTTTATAGAGACAACAAATTTTTCTCAATTTGGCAGTGCAAATATTTTAAATCATAATCACTTTAATAATTTTCCTCTTCCTCTTCTTTCATAAACACAGAAACGAATCCTCTAAGGACTTCATGATGTTTGAAGTACGATATAATTGCAAGGATTAAGCCACAACAACAACAAAAGACAAACTAAAGTCAGGCACCGATGACTCATGCCTGTAATCCTAGCTACTCAGGAGACAGAGATCAGGAGAATCACAGTTCAAAGCCAGCCCAGGCAAACAGTTCAAGAAACCCGATCTCAAAAAACCCCAGTACAAAAAACGGCTGGTGGAAATACTCCAAAGTGTAGCCCCTGAGTTCAAATCCCAGTACCACAAAAAAAAAAAGACATATGAAATTTTAATTATCATTCACTTGTTCATCTCAAGTTTTATAAGTACCTATAAAAATAGTGGTATCCATAACTAGAAAGCATAAGCACAGAATTTCATGCTTATTTTATGCAAAAGAATTTAATTTACTCCACCAACACTATCATTAGATATTCCTTTGCATAGTAGAATAATATAGACCTAAAATGCAAAGAACGCTGGGAGAGAACTTTAGGCAGTATAGCTAATTTTTCTTTTCTTTTCTTTTTCAGTGTTACAGTATCAGACTCAAAGCCTAGACAAGCACTTGCTATACCTCCAGACCTCTAAATTTCTTAAACCTCTTTTACATCTCTATAGTAGTTTACCTTGAGGCCTACAATCTGAGAACTCAAAGAATAGCCTTGTGAGTCAGCCTGATAGCTTTTGTACAGACCTCAGGTCATGAAAGACAGAAAACTGGCTAAAGAGCCAACAAAGAAAAAAAAAAAAAAAGAAAAGAAAAAAAGAAACAAGTAATCTTAAGTATTAATTCAAGTTTTTCTGCCATAAAAATGATTTCAATACTTAAATATCAGATAGTTGGGTTTTTTTAGAAACCAAGTTTAAGGATACTAAATCATAATATAAAGAAGCCCTTGGCCAAGGAGTATAGCTCAGTAATAGAACACTTCCTAGCATGAGTGAGGCCCTGAGTTAGATCCCCCAGCACCACAAAACACAGGAAAAAAACAAAGCAAACAATCAAGCAAACAAAAAAGAAATCACTAGGTACCAGAAAATTATTCGTAAGATAGGTGAATATTTTTATAATTTTGGAGAGCAAAACAACTTTCATTGCACAACCCCAACAGCTAAAAAACAGTACAGAAAAGGTTGCTGGATCTGGCAACAGCAAAATTAAAAACTTCATTACAGTAAAACTAAACTATGAACAAAATTAAACAGGGAAAACAGGTACTATTGATACCATACCCTTTGTGTAATCTTTTTGAAAAGCAATTTAACAACAGTAATAAAAATTTAACATGTGTTTATAACTTGGCCAAGA